AAAAACCGAAAATTTTTAAAAAAAATCTATCTTTTTTAAAAAAAATTGGATATGGAATCGAAATGAACAAAATATAAAAATCAATTGGTATCTATTTTTATAAAATCAAAAAATCGAAACTGATGAACCCCAACCGATTTACGAAACGCTAACCCCTAATTTTATATACAAGTGAAATATTATTTCTCTCTCTCTCTCTCTAATTTAATTTAAGCATATGTAGTTGGAACGCTCATACAAAAGGTCTTTCTTCCACTAAAAATTTTAAAATAAATTATTTTTTTTTTGTGGGCAATAATAGATTATAACTCAAATCATGTTTGTCTTGAGACTAAATATTCCGCTAATCTAAGAACTGCTCAAAGCCTGATTTTGGGGTTTGTTCATTTACGTGGGGAATCATATTTGCACTTTGCTTACGAAATTCCTAAAAACGCTTTATTAATAAAGATCGCAATATTCCCTTTTTTTTAAAAAAAAATTAATTTTCTTCTTCTTCCCTTTTTGTCGTATTCTTTCTATTTTTCTTTTTTTTTTAAAAAAAAATCCAATAATCATGACACATCGACGTTTCCTTTGGCTGTAACTGTTTCGATATAAATGCGGGTTTGTTTTTCCATCCAATTTTATTACACGTTTTATCTACATGGTTATGACAGTAGGAGAGTATATATATACGGAGGATGTCATAAGATAATTAAAATTACGAAAAATAATTAATAATATGAATGTTTTTAAGGGCCTTTTTTTTTGTTTGTCATTGACCGATATGTGAATTTAGGATATGTAATCGGTCGGATTAATGCACAATTGCGTGAAAAATACTTTGTGACTGTGATATTGTCAAATACTACGGATAAGGTTAGGTATAGGTGCAAGACAATTTGTTCTTGTTGTTAAAATTCTCTACTATATATAATTCAATATCTTAGTATCGTTATTATTGATCCCATCAATTATAATTACTTTTTTGGCCATTTTATTCTAGCAATGTTTTGATAGTCAATTTGTATACGCTCCGCGTATTTTAGATATGATTAGAAATATATATATATGAAAACAAATGGGATTGGAGGTGTGAATATGAATTCTAGATACGATTAGAAACAATTAATGAATGATATAATACTAATCAATAAATCAAATATTAATTATGTCAAATACAATGTATCTTATTTGTTTCCATTTCATATAAAAAGTAAAAGTCTGCATTCACTTCCAAACACATTTATATTTATTTTTCATTTCATATAAATATATATATATATATACATGATATAAAACATTTTAGAAATTTGGGGTGGGGGGCTGAGCTGGCATTGGAATTGAAAGACAACTATGAAGTGGGGGCATCCCGTAACAGCTTCTTCTTCGTGACAAAACCCATCTTTCTCTCTTTGATCTCTGGTCCCCTTCTCACTTCTGCAAAAATCCAATCATCCTTTGTTATTTTTCACACACGTCCCACTTCCATCGCATGCGCCGTAAAAATAATTTTACCTCGGTAACTCTCGACTCTTTGAAAATATTTTTTTAAAAAAACTTGTAGCAGCATTAATTACCATATGTATGCATGGGAGCCGCTTAGAAGTTTTTATTTCACGTAAATTGTTTTAAGTCGTTTATTTAGAGAAAAAAAGAGTGAATTCCCCCAAATTATATATTGTTTTCATGTTTTTATAACCATGATATTACATGTTTTTATTTTTTAAAAAAAATCGAAACAACACGCGACTAAACCCATGGTTTTTGGAATAACAACCCCTAGTTTTGGGCAAATTCGAAATCAATAAATTTATCTAAAGACGTGACTTTATTTATAGAAATACGCGTATATCTTTTGTTCAATTGATATTATTTAATGTCTCTGCACTGCACGTATGTTGGGAATCGGATTCTTTTCAGCAAACAGAAGTCCAGATTTTGATTGAGGTAACGGAAACCTGAATCAAAGCATGAATTCGCCTAACCAAAATTCAAACCCGTATAGGGGTGGACATTTCGTTTACTTTACCCGTCATCCAACCGTACCGAATAAAAAAATAGTACAAAATTCCCTAACGATATTAATTTTAGAAAAAAATTGAATTTCTCAAAACAGAATCGAAATTTAAAAAAAATCCAAAAAATAAATTTTTTAAAGAAGATCTATTTTTTAAAATAAAAATCTAAATCTAAATTGAAACGAATATAATATAATAACTGATTGGTACCTATTTTGTAAAATTGAAAGAAGCGAACCGAACCATTCACGATCCGAATACTAAGCGAATACCAAAATAACCACCCTACAAAAGAAAAAGAAAAAAAAAATGCTTGCAGCCTAATATAAGAATAATATCTGCCGCATGATAACTGTTTCATGTCTATTTTCTAGAGTTTGTAGCATGATTTTTCTCGTTTGTCGATTTAACTCATTATATGTTCGAGGGGGGAAACTATTCAATGATGTCATCATAAACATTTATAAACGACGATGTGATTAGACTAATGGCCGAATGAAATTGGAGAAGAAAACAAAAAATTGTAAAAATGTACGCCTTAAAGAGGACGAAATCGTAGAACAAATGTTTAACAAAAAATGATTTGGATAACCGGTATTCTTACAGGAGTTAACTAAAAAAAAATCATCAAACCAATGTGTATATGTATATGTATATGTATATGTATATGTATATAGTCTCATGTGTATAAGTTGAAGCTAATTTGAATTCTGATGTATTCTTATTTGGGTATTCGGCGAAGGCCGATTTGTAAAATGTTATTTACTTTAACACGATTCACATTCAACCATAAAAAAAAAGGTAATAAAATAATATATTTTTTCCCTTTTATTTTAATGCATAAGTATTTGGGCCGAAGGGCATTAGACGTTTGGGCCCAAAACTTGGTTCGGGTCGTGTCTGTTTTCATGTTGCTATTTTTGTTTTATGTTTATTTCTCGAAATGTTCATACCAATACCATTATCGTCTCTAACTGTGTTACGAATGTTGTTTTGCTTTCTAGGATTCCTTTTGGTGAGTCCCCCCGCATTGAACACTTGGGATTAAATGGAATACCCAAATTTGGATAGTTCAACCGGTGAAATGGAATGCAAAAATGTCTGTTCTGACACGAGTTTGAACCTCAATTTTGAGGAGAAAAACGGATAATCCAAATCACATGGTTAACTTTGGATCTTGTAGGATATCGGGTTACCAAAAAGAAAATTATAAAACAATGATGCAACATAAAATATTCCGGATGAACATGTTTTTTTGTTAAACGGTAAACTTGTATATATATACGATCTCCAGTACAGAGAGTTGAGGATTACATCATGACATAATCATGAGCAAAATACGAGGAGAAACTAATTACAAAATATCAAAGTTTGCAAACCATATCGTGAGGAACGAGTATATGATGCAACATAAGATATTGGCCACCGTTTGTTGACATAGAAAGTCGGGTGACATTGATGTCTTTAATAACATCGATGGCCAAAACGTGACGCCGTTTCTTCACAAATATTACGTAATATTGCTGTAACGTTCTATGTTATAGTGTTTCCCGTGATAAAGTTTGGCTAACAAGTTTGGCTAACAACGTGGAACGTTATAACAACATGCATGTATACTCATTTACATGCTATGACCCAAAAACAAAACACCGTTGATTGATTCAAAAACGCTATATCAAATTATCAAACTTCATTGATTGATTCACTCTTTGTGAATTGAAACTATCGTCTGTTCCAATACCCATTTGAAAATTTTTTCAGGATCGATGAAAAACGGTAGAGACAAAGATTACGACCACTCGAAGCCATATGAGATGGGTTTGTTTCCTTGTCGGCATCATCATATTAACCGGACGCAGTCCCGATTTCTGAGAACCGGTAGTCGTTTTGTATCGTTCAGGGCTCGTAAGAACAACACATGTGCTTGGTTCTTCCCCTGAAACAATGAATGCGTTGTCTTTACTATTGAATCAGTCTCTCTTTTCGTTGACTATGTATATATGGTTTCTGTTTTCCCCTTGTTTCCTTGTTGTCTCTTAGCCCTTTTGGCCTCATACCCTTAAATGTCGTTCCATTATATATATATATATATATATTTTTTTTGTCTGAAAATTCTAACATTAGTCCCGCTTTAACCGACAAAACTTTTGTTATATATCGTTTTGATCCTATACATACACCATGCATTGTTCAACATGTTATGTTATCACCCTTATATAATCTCTTTTTTTTTTTTGCGATTTTTCGAGTTATGGGTTTCCTGAATATTTCCTATTTTGACATATGAGTTTATCACCGCTTGGAACGGATCTTGTGAAGTCAGTCATTATCCATGTACATCTTTAATTTCATGTAACTGACCGAAGATAAATTATGTTTTCCTGTCTTCAGTACTTATTATGTTGTCTGTTACAAACCGTGAAAATTATTGATGTGACAATTATATGACGAGTGGGTAACCACTGTACCTTTTTTTTTTTTGGTCTATCGGTTACACCGAGGATTTGAATTGAAATCCAAGAGCTAATGTTGTCATATAAGTTTGTTTGTCATATAAGTTTTAATATATGGGACCCTATTTCCTATGAATTAATGTTGGTACATGGGTACGCTAATCACATACAACACACAAATATACCTCAAACTATGGTCATATGACTCATATATATCCAACTAATAGGTATATTATCTGAATGAATCGTCTGGACAGCTAATATTGTAACCAGACTCAAGGTTTTAGTCGTTGAGGCTCGATCCATGCACACACACACACACACATATATATATATATATATACATATGTATAATAAACAAAAATACCCATCTTTTCATTAGAACGTATAACAAATTTACAAAAAAAAAAAGTGTATTTGACCGAATTTGAGGGAATCATGCCTAAATACACGTGTTTCGGTGGAGATTGAAGTAATTTGATTTCTTGGATTTGTAATATAAAACCGTGGATTTGGGTACAAGGAGAAACGTATGGAGTTTCTGACCATTTTCAAATATGGGCTTATAAAACTTTGGACAACTGGACAAGAGGAAAAAGGAATGCGAATGGCGTTTCATTTCATGGGGCAAATCAAATCGAATGATTATGTTACATGCACACATTGATTAACGGGAGTTGCGAAAGAAAAACGAGACATAGTTTACAAGAAGGGACACACCACGTGGAATTGTGATGTTACAAAGTCAAAACACCGATTCAAGTAAGATTATTATTATTATTATTATTATTATTATTATTATTTGCATATGGGATCTTTCGGTGTTTGAATCGGTTGCTGAAATTTTCTGACCGGAAATTTGGGATTCTGAGAGGAGAGGACAACAATCGCAGAACATCACATGAGGCATCCACCATGTGTTTCTTTATTATTGTTTTAGCCCTCTGGGTTTCGGACAAATGTTGTGTCTTGAATCTGACACACACACACACACACACACATATATATATATATATGTATATATTCGCACGAATCACGATAAATGTGAAATATTTGGTACGAGTGAACCTTTTTTTTTTGTTAATTAGTATAAAAAAAAGGAACAGATTTCTAAAGCTTCAAGATCCGCACCACTTGTTTGTTTGTATATAGTTTAAAAAAAGGGTTATTTTTACTGTTATGGTCATTTAGGATTTCGTTTTTTAATAAGATTTGGCCGACATGGTGTTTGAACGTCATTTAGGGTTTCGTTAAATGTGTATTCTTTATAAGTCCCAAGCTACATGGAACTGATGATTTGATATGGTCTTTTGCAATGATTATGATTTTTGAAACATATTAATTCTACGTTTTTTTTTATTCGTAACATGTTAATAAATAAATATAACACGATCTGATTACACTATAAAGTTGAACGTTAGATGTGACTGACTTCATCAATCTAATAATGAGGAGACACTTAGGTATATAATTTAGAATCTCTTTTTTCTCCATATGTATATGATTTGTGCTGATGTGGTTGGTGCCGAAACAAATCTCAACTAATTAGAGATCAATTATATGCTTAATCAAACAAATAAAATCCACATCAATTCGATTCCATAAATAAATAATTAATTAAATGAACACAATCGGATGCGATCTTGAGATCTCTGAACAGCCAAATCAAAAAGCTTACAACACGCTTCACACGAATATACGTACAAATTTATATAATATGCAGAAGCTTACAGATTAATGGATCAATTAACGGATTATTAAAACATGATCACGGGAGATTCTCTGCATGGCCCGAACTACTATAACATTTTTTATTTAACAAAAATCTAAGAATCTCTGGGTCACGTCGTCCTGGCACTAGCACAAGTAATTAGAAACAGACACACACATATATATATATATATAAAGACACGTATGTATATGTGTGTATGAACGTACGTATTAATTATATTTAATAAACATAAAAAAAATAAAGAAAAAACAGGGATTACGTGACAACACATGTCTTGTCGTTTTAAAATTGACGTTGGTATCGGGGATGGGTTGGTTTTATCGTTATTTGTCTTTGACAGTCAACAATGTTTGGCTCCTCGAACGTTTTAATTACCTATTTAAAACCATTTTGAAATTAATATCGTTAATTTTGTATCTTCTTGTTATGCGATAAGCTTTTTTGTAATCATAATTTAGTTTTGGTCGGTTTAGGGTTAGCCAAAAACGAAAAATTAATAAATGGATCATATAGTTATAGTTATCCTCACGTTATGCCTATCTTATCTTTTCGAATTTCACATATGTACTTAAATAAAGACACGAGGACTAAACGTTTTTTTTTCCCAATATTTTTTTTTTTATTTCTCACAAATATCCGAGTCAGATATAGCGGCTTAATTTAACATGCGTACTCCAAAGTACCATAATGGGAGAGTTGAACTAATCGAATTACTTGTTTTCCTTAACAAAGAAATCACTTGTTTGACATTATTATTATTTTTAATAAATCTCGGAGTCTATAAATGACATTTAATTATTAGTCAGACACTTTTAAATCTTTCACATTCAAACTAATTATCGTTTCTTCGTGAATCAACGCACTAAACGGTAAAAAAGTGAACTAAAGAATTGTTCTATTCTCAATATAGAATTCGAACCCCTAACAACTTATTATTGAACGTAAATGTTTCATGTTATTATTTATCGATGCATAAATGAGATTAAACTTTTTGCTTCTTTTTTTTTTTAAAACCAAAATTATTCGAATAGCTCCGATATTTCGAATTTATAAAATAGATATTGAAAACAATTTTCTCGCTTTTGTTTCTTACCATACAAATCTGTGACAAATTGACAATGTAGAAGTGATTCGTGTGAATTCAATAAGATTTTTTAAAGGGGGTGGTGGGGGGGTATGTGAATTATATTGGTTATTAAAACATCAATTTTATTTAGAAAAATTATAGACACGTTTTTAACACGTTTTTTATGGTTATATCTTAACATATCTCCCTTTTTATTATTTTTCTAATTAACAACTTCATTCTACAAAGTCAACATTTTCCCCTTCTAACGCATGCATCCCTTGTAAGGAAAAAAAAAGTCCCAAATAATTATCAATTTTGGTTCAATTAAACTTTCAAATTCGACATGGATTGCACATTGCATGTACCAAATCTGAGTTTGCCTTTAAAATATATTATAGTTCATTTATGCCAGACACCTACAGTACATAATACTCAAATATAGTCTGGGGTTTACATCCATATATATAATCTGAAAAGAAAATGTCTTCATGTTCCAAGATATACGTTTACATATTTTAGATATACACGTATATATATATATATATTGATAAATAAAGAAATGAAAGGGATTAAAATAAGGGACAGTGAAGCAATACATATAACATGGGCATGCAATGGTGAGGCTGACACGGAGAAGGCAAAGGAGGGCCATTTTAGTTTGGCGATAAACTCCAAATTTGCATTAACCCATTTGATCTCTTAGCTTGGGGGACACTCACAGTATGGCCCTTTCTATAATATGGTCACATTCTCATTTCACAATATATATATAATAATTTTCCATATATATATATCTGTTAACCCATTAATTTTATATATATATCTATAGATATAAACTAATCTTGTTATTGTTTCTGTTTCGTTAGAGGTTTAAAGAAAAAAAATTGTTATGGAAGAAGGCTGAAAATTTGTTATGGATGTATATAATACATGCATGCATGTGTTAGAATCATGGGTTTAAATAAAATGAGTTATCGAATGGAAGATATTAATTGGAGGGTGCATGTTGCAATCAAACGTTCCTTTCGGGAGAAAGTTTTTTTAGAATCATACCCAAAATAAAAACAGTACTATCTTCATAATGGATACAACCGAAAACAGCATAATAAATCGGTGAAAGCTCAGATGCCCCTTTTGATTAAAGAAACATTACGTACCCACACCCTCCCTCCATGCACCTGTCTCTCGTTCTTCTTTCCAATACTGTTTTCTCCCTTCACACCCCTCTCTCTCTCTCTCTCTCTCTCTTTTCGGTATAAAATGAGAGCCATATCCATCCTCCCTCTTCATGCTGCTCTCTCTTTCTCTCCCATCTCTCCATCTCTATCTCTCTCTCTCTCTCTCTCCTTCTGAGACATTAAATACTTATCCTTCCTCCATTTCCTATATATTTGATCATTGCCGACCAATCAGTATTCGACCTGCAACAAGACTCTCTCTCTCTCTCTCTCTCTCTCTCTCTCTCTCTCTCTCTCTCTCTAGTGATATTAAAAATTGTAGAAAAAGTGTAACTCAAAGAGATGTCTAGTAGGAGATCACGTTCGTCAAGGCAGCCTGGGAGCTCCAGAATCTCTGAGGACCAAATTGCCGATCTTGTCTCTAAGCTCCAACGCCTCATTCCCGAGCTTCGTCGCAGACGCTCTGACAAGGTACCTTTATACATTACATGCACAACATAATTTATAACAACATATGTATATATATATACACTTTCTTTCTTTTTTATGTTTATGTTTTTATTTATTTCATTTATTCACATTTCTTTGACCATCGTTATAATCGATACATATACATACATATATATATATATATAATATGTATATGCGTGGTGTCGTTGTTTCTGTTTTCATGCTTGTGCGTATGCATGCCCACACCTGGCCGCAGAAAGTAGCATTTATTTCTCACCATATATGTGCATGGTGAATCGCTGTAGCGTGTGCATGTGGCCTTGGTTTAACTTTCATAGATAAAGTAACATTCATCCACAACCTTGTGTATATAAAAAATATATGCATATATATATATATATATCATATCTTTTTTATTACTCGTTGCATTTAATTCACAAGTTGGTGGCGTGGGGCTCCATTTGTTCCCTTCCTACTACGACGTACATTAAATCATGTCCGGTGCTAACTCATATACGTATACGTATACTATAACCGCTAAAAAAACAATATTATCAATTGCTTCCGGTTTATGACGGTTGCACACACAACACATATAATGTGATATAGAACAAGTCATGCTTCGGTTCATACTAACCTCCACGTGACTATTTTATGATGCAAAACATTTCTTGAATATATATATATATATATATATATATATATACACATGGAGATGGTACATTACGCCATGTTTATATGAAATTGTGTGTGTGTATATATATCCCATATATAACGTATGACCCGGCTCATATATTAAACCCGTTGGATTAGTTCAGTCTAGTGAAATAATTAGCATAAATTAAAATTAATTTTTTTTTTGCAGGTTTCAGCTTCAAGGGTGCTGCAAGAGACTTGCGAATACATCAAGAATCTGCACAAAGAAGTTGACGGCCTCAGCGAACGTCTCTCCGAACTCTTGGCCTCGACGGACGATAACAGCCCCGAGGCAGCGATCATTAGGAACTTACTTAATTTTTAAATTAATCTTAAATATTTCTCCATTCTCGATCTAAAATTTGTCTACGTACGTACTTGTATCTGGTCCTCTACATACGTATTATTCCATATATATATATATATATATATATATATATATAGCGCTAGGGTTTTGGTCATATCGTAGGCCAAACCATGTAATATTATGTATATGTATGTATCGTTGTACGTATCGTAATCGTATGCGAGGGATCCAGACATGGCTCTATACTAAGCTGTGTGTAATGCGATCTTTTTCTAATATCATTTTATAATCAATGACAGTTCCTTTAACTCCGCTTTTTAACGATGAAATTAATTTAAACTGCTAGTAACCTTTTATTGTATTTTCAATTATATATTTTTTAAAATTGTGTATATAATATATATATGATACGCAAGTTAATATAGTCCGGTCAAGTTATATGCATGCAAACATGGAGAAGTTCTGATCGGATTTGAATTGTACAACTACGAACTCGAGATTCACGAGGCCAAGTAGCTTGGATTATCTAATTTTTAATCTTATCTACGATCGATGATCTTGTCACTTCTCATGAAATGGTGCTGCATGTGATCATTAATGCGCCGATTTTGTCGTATATTGTGTAACAACTAACAAGACATCATAGTACAAGATATTATTTACTGTAGCTTCGCGTGTATAACCGAACAGAATATAAACCGAATTTACGAGAGTAGTTCCGTAATAAACAATCTTTTGTAATCAGAATCGTACTGATATTTTCTACAATATATATCACTCATTTTGATGAACATCTATTCATCAATATTTTGTATCTTTAGATTACAAACTATAGGGTTGCTGTAGGGTTATAATCATTTTTATTTTGTTAACTATGATGGTTCACCTGGAGTCCCATGCGATCTCACAAATTTTTGGGGTCCTGTACATATTTTAAATTTATATAAATTAATAAATTTAAAAATAATAATTTTAAATAAAATAAAAAAATTAAAAATTGTATTATTTCCAAAAACATTTAAAAATGATATAAATATATTTAATTTAACATAATATACCAATGAATTGCTATAATATATTTTAATTAGTTTTAATAAATGTTTTTAATATATTTTATAGAAACAATCAGTTCTAATAAATGTCTTTTTATAACAATTATAATATATTTTGGTTTTAGCTGTTAAAAATAAATATTTTAATTTATTTAATAATAATAAAGATAATTAATAATAACAAAAGTTGTTACAGTTTATAATTAATTTTAATTATTTTCTATTATTAATAATTAATAATTAATAAGGGGTCCCATAAATTTAGAGGCCCTGTTCCATCACACCTTTTGAACATGTTAATAGACGACTATGACCTGGACCTTCGGTCCAACCTACTTCCACCTCCGGACCTGTGGCCGGCCGGGTGACATTCTCTTTGGGAATTTCCCCTCCCCAGCTGCAGGAATCGAACGCTTCACGTGAAAACCATTTTAGCCAATATGCTGCCATTTGCCCATGCTAGCTGGGTGGGTTATAATGATTGATATGTTATAAATGTGATATATATATATATATATATATATATATATTATCATAAGATATACATTCAATTATGAATCGATATCTTAAACTTTGCATATTCAGATCAATCCCTATTTGTCCATAGATTAACGCACGAAAACGTAAGTGATTGATCTCAAGAGTTAATCCGTCATCAGGAGAAGATTCAAACTCTTCATTGAGAGCCAAAGATGTTAAATTATCTATAGTATTTTAGGTTAAATGTGACCGATTTTGAAACCATTGATTTATAAAAGTTGAACAATGTTTTGTACTTTTTAACAAATAAATCGTAATAAAAAGAGTTAGAATATTGGTTAAAAAGAAACAAAATAGACCAAATGCTTTTGTAACAAAGAGATAATTGAATTAGGACCGAATCATTTCGGCTTAATTTATAAGTTGAACCTCCGTATTAAAGCAGCAGGATCCAGAGCCGTGCGATGATACATAACGCGATTTTCAGCCGTTTTTTTTATCGCGTTCTAAAGACGCGATTTTACGCCGACGGGCATGATGATAACAACATTATATTCTTCGAAAATGTTTCCTTTATTTGTCGTTAAAAGAATTATAAATTTTACACCATCCAAAAAAGTATAAATATTATGAAATTTTTAACAGCCTTATGAGATGTAAATATAATGTTTTAAAGTATGATGGTTTTTTTATTTTTATATGTCAAGATTTTCGGAATAAAGTCCCAAATGAATTTAAATATACATCTTAGTTTCCTCTTGATACAATTCCTAATTTTTATCAAAATGATAAGAATATATAAATCCAATCTAATATTCAAACACTATAGAAACTGAAATTCTCCACGTTTTCCAATATTATATTAACATTTTTAGGTGGACACGTGTAAATCGGAAGCGGGTCGAAGATCCGAGGGAGAATCGGGTTCAAGTGGGTTGTATCAACCCCGGCATTGCATCTATCAATGGAGTACGTCCAACCACAGTGGACCGTGGACGTGCCTGAGTCGAGTTTTGACGTGAAACACCCACACCCACGTCATCGGACGACAAATTAGCCATCGGGAGCGTGGTCAATAATGCAATGCCAACTAACCCTCAAACGTGGGCCTCATTATTCCCCTAGTAGGCCCCAGTGAGGAGCCCATCGACTACGCCTCTTCTGAGGTTTCCCAGCAAGTACGGACAGCTGGCTCTACACTCTGGCCCAAACAGAACGCAATACCACAAGGTACTAGGCCCAATTAGACGTGCAGTCTCGGCCCATACCTCGGCTTCGTTTATTCTTATAAAGGCCCATTTTCTGAAGCCCTCGGGGAAAAAGTTAACACAATTTTTTAAACATCAGGCCCATTACCAACAAGTTGAGTCCAACTGTATGCCCATTTTTCGAAAAAGCTCGACCCACCCATTATGTAAAAGTACGCTCATTTTCGTAAGCTTTGGGCCCATATTAGGCCCATTATCAAACGTGCGTCCCAACAGTTGGCCCATTCAACCGAACGCATCCTGGCATTCGCACATTCTTATAGGTGTGTTCTACAACAACAACAGCACCAAACACCAAGCGGAGGAGCAAATCAAATTGTAACGCGATCCAAACGTCGAAGATCGCAACAGAATAAGAAAATCTAGCGATCTTACCCTGGAAATTAATGAAAAACTAGTAACGAAATGTTCGATGACGTACAATCACCTGAAGATCATTCTCGGCCTCCTTCCACCGCTTCTCCGCCGTCATGGCCGACCGATATCTCCCAGAGGGGGAGGGGGAGAGAGATTTGAATTTTTTGATAACGGTCGAAAGGGCAGAGGGGTGATGAGGCTGTCCTAAATCTTTTAGGGATTTATGGGCTTTTCAGGCTTAGCCCAACAACCGAGTTGAACCCGGGTCCTGACTCGGATCTTCAACCCGGATCCCATCTTTCCTTTGCACGTGTTCAAGCCTTTTGTCAGACTCGGAAAGATCGGGGGTTTAAATGTAATTTGAAGAAGTATGATGGGTTTTTTCAAATTTAGAAATTATAAAAGGACTTCAAAAGAATATGATCATCGTGATGATGGCCGTGGAAAACACGAGTGACTCGGTGAAACCGGAACCCGTAATAAACCAGTTGAGTGACTCGCGAAGTAGACTCAGTAAACTTTTTTGGTCATGTCCTCGATTCTTGACTCGGTTTCAATTGGACGATGATTTGTTATTGAAAATTATGAAGAGTTTCATTTCATATTGAGTTTAAATATTGATGTATTTTCTATTTGGATTGAATTTTTTTTCATAATTCCTGATATTTCTCGACTTCCTTATTGTTCTTGCGGTGATAGATGATGTATATTAAAAAGCAATTGCAGACATTGGATACAACATTTTTACAAAAAATATTATGCACATACATTAAAAAGTTAGAAAGTAAATATTTTTTATGAAATAATTATATAAATAAATTTAATAAAAAGTGGCATAAAAAGCTTGAAAATGTTTACATGCCTTTTCCTTTCGTCTTCCCTACCGTCACTCACGTACTCTGAGCAGTTGCCCTAGAGCATTAATGGAAATGATATTATCGATTATAGTTATTTCATTTTTCTGAATCTTTAAATCAAGTGGGTTTATATGTCTGCAGCGTCGAGAAGATGCAAACACGAAATATTCTTTTAAATTTTTTTTTAATGGAAATGATATAAAATTTTGTTTATTCAAAACATCTTTCTCGCAACTTTCTGTTAAGTTTTTTCTTTTTAAGTTGAAAAAACAAAAGTAAATGTCCTGTCGATGTTGCTTTGAGTTCTGCGCCATTTTTATAAAAGATTCCAAGTGGGTCCAAATTTAAATAGCGTCACCATCCCAAAATTTCAGTGTTTCTGTCGATATTGTGACCCGACGAAGAGTTCAAATTCATATATATATATATATATATATATGAAATATATTCGAACAAGTTTTTTCGTCCCATATATAACATGGATTATGGATTAACGACTTCTTTTTAATTTCATGGTAAATATGATTTTCCTATGGATAATATTATTGCATTCTAGGATACATCAATCATGATCGTGAGGTTTCTTTGCAAATACTGTGGATGACTCGTAAATACCGCATGCATAGTGTACGATCTTCCTGTCAACGCAATATTTACCGACTGCGCTTTTTTTTTACTGTAGATGTCAGAATCCATGCAGACCTCTTTCCTGCGAAATAGTTAACAACGACGGACCAAAAAAGAGATTATCATTACATACGTGAATAATATACTTACATCCACGCACACGCATATCATATATATATATATATATATATATATATATATAAAAATAATATGACGATCATTTATTGAAACATATATACCCAAGGTGGGATGATCAGCCAAAAAGCGCCACCATACCTATTTTCCACATTTTTATCAACCTAAGATGTGTAGATCTTCCTAACAAAACAAATAATATACTATAGTTTGTGTAACAATGAGATGATAATGGCATCGTTATCATATATTCTATAGTCGAATTACATCTTATAATCGGCAGAAATCGACGATTAAAACATCTAAAAACAGGATGCACGACACGATTGAAGAGTGATCATGGGTCCATGTCCGTTATCGATCGATCGATCGTGTTTTTGGGATATGATGAATGGTGTGTTGAGTAAGGAAGAAGATAGATGGAATTCCGAACAATAATGGGCACAAAAGTATATGGGATGTTGGGGAAATTTTAAGAAAAAGGAATAATATTGAAATGAAGAACGACGTAGGGACAATAATAAGAGGGGACAGCTCTTTTGTGGGGTTAATTGAACAGTGGTTTTGTTTGGTTTTTTCCCTTAACCTAAAATACCCCACCACTCTATACGTACGTACATGTGTATATGTGAATTAATGCGTGTCTACGTATATGTGTCTATGTGAGTATTGACATATATATTCTATACATATTTGGATTGACAGTACATGGCAAAACAGTAAAAAAAATTACCATTGGAGTTATATTTGCCATTGTCATCTTGCTTAGAAGATATGTTTTTTTAGATATATATTCATTTAATGACAAATTTGTCATTTTGCTCGTATTTGTGATTGTCCATATATATGACGCATGTCACTATTTCTCATTTTCCACGTACGGTATTCTATATTCCAAACACATATATACACAAAAGTTTGTGAAATTTTGTCACATGTATCTATCATATAGACGCAAACTTTAAAAAAATGGGAACTTTTGAATGGATAAGTATATATAAGTTCAGATAGATTTAAACGGTAATTAAAAGACGGCTTCCAAATGATCAATATATATACACGAGCATGCATGCAACTTTCAAGGATTTACAAGGCCAATACATATACATAAGATATGCGGTCATTTCGGTATGGTTCTAAGGAACTGAACCGTATCGAACCAAAAAATGCGGTATTTTTCTCGAACCAAACCGTCCAAAATTTTCGAAAATTAAGTTTTTAGAAGACTAAAATTTTCAAAACCGAACCAAACCAAATATTAAAAAAACCTGAAAAACCAAAAATTTCTTAAGAATTATTTTTTTTAATAAAAACCGAAACCGGATTGGACCGGATATGATATAATAACCGAATAATATATATTTTTGTAAAACCGAAAGAAATGAACCGAACCATTTTAGATCCGAACCCGAACTGAATCCCGAAACACCAACCCTAATAGTCACAAGCTATGGGGTAAATAGGAGATTATACAAAAGAGTGGGGTGAAATTAGAAAAAAAAAGTAAGTAGGTCACAAAACTGAGAAGTTGCAGAGATTTAAAAAAAAAAGGATGGGGAAAGGAAGAGGAGGTTCGTCGGAAAGCACGATGTGTGTTGGTGGGTTAGGTAGCAAACCCCCCTGCACCCTCCCCCCTCAATTGTCCCCATTCCTCTGTAGATTCCCCCTCCCGGTCCAAACCGGTTTGGTTCTTTCTGCTCCGGTTTAATCATGCATCCCGAATTTCACACACAATTTTACCGGTTCTTCCATCACCATTCTTGTTAATTTCTCCTCCTGTTTTGGTATTTGTCACGTGTGATATAGGCCCGGTTAAAGTTAGAATTTTGTAGAAATAAAATAATATATATATGTAGAGAGAGAGAGAGATGGGCAATTTCACAAATATGTTTACCGGTTCAAGAAATAATACTGTATTCGTATAAATGCAATTTGACTATCGTTTGGAAAATAGTAGTGTATCTTTCCATTCTTCTACGAGGTAACTTTTTTTTTTCCTTTGGATAATAAAAATTTTACGTGGCATCACACAGTTTCCGACCATCCATATAATTTTTTTTTCTCTTTCTTCCCAAGAAACAAAACATGTTATTAGGGTTTGTTTCCCATGCACCTACGACTCACGGGCCTAAGCTAATCACACACACACACACACACACACACATATATATATATATATATATATATATATATATATATATATACCAACACAGGAGAAATTGAGTTAGAGATAAGAATTAAAAGAGACATGAAATCACCATATCAAGGTTATGATACAATATATGCGACAATGGCATTAATTCATGGAAGAAGGAATTTGGATTCATTCAAGAAAAAAAAAAGGTACATTGGCTCTGGGTAAAATGCTGAAAGTAAAAAAAGAGTGAGTGATGGGGTCTACACATGGGTTTCCAGGTTCAAATCTGGAATTTCAGCACGTGGAAAAAAATTGTTTGCACCAAAAAGTATGATCAAATATATAGAAAGGTCGATTTGATTATATATCACCTTGGGTTACAACAACTTAATATATAAAATTTCTATCCATATGGAAATTCGGATGAACAAATTCTATAAGAAGCAATTAGAGATAGAGTTTCTGTGTAGATTTCAAGAGATTTTCGTATCACTCTCATGTGTATCTGTTGATTTGTCGATTCATGTTGGATGTGAAGAATGTTCATAGCAAACGTAGAAATATGAATAAGTTTAATAGAACTTCGAGTTGTGGATTTGAAATGGAAGATTTTGGAGCGCTATATATATAGAATTGCACAAAGAATATGAATAAGTTGAACATTTTAGATATATAGACAGAGTAGAAGGGAAGGCTTACTTTGTCTGAAAAAACATGTACGCAAGATTTCTGTCTTGATACAATTAATTAACATATTTTGTAGGGGTTAGGGAAACTTCATGAATATCTCTATCTATGTATTCTTCTAAAATTGTCAAGTAAATACATAAATATATCTAACATTAATTGTTATAAATTTGTAAATCCAAAATTTTGAAAAAACAAAATACACGAACTTTGAACGTTTTCCTATTTTTTTTTATCTACGTATATCATAAAAAAAAATCAACGTATAATGAATCAGTAATATTTTTATTTGCGGAGAGAATGATAGATGGCGAGGGAGATTTGTTTATTTTAAAAGACAACTGTGACGAGTGAGAGTCTCTCCTAGGGGGAAAAAAATAAAACTGAATTCAGCCCAAAAAAATAAAATAAAATAAAACTGAGGCGTTTCTTATTATAAATAAAATAAAATATCCAATTCAATTTCATACAATATGATTGTGACCTCAAAATTTCTCCACTTTGAACACAAGCTGTAACCCTCTTCCTTTTGCGCAGGCTGCCATCTGTATTCTCCCACGTTTTCACGGTAAATATTACAAAAGGTTTGAAATAAAAAAGAAAAAATTCTATATAAATACATCAATTTTTATAAATTTTTCTATATAAATATCTCAAGTATAAAACTCATATATAAATAATTCAAATTTTCAAAATTCCCATATAAATAATCAAAATTTTAAAAATCTTCCAAATAAAATTAAAATCCATTAACGATTTAAGACAAAATTTATCAAAAATTGATGACTTAACACACGTTAAACATCGTTAACGAAGAATTGAACTCCCACATAGTAATGAAACGCACCCCATCATTGAGAATTGAACTAGCTTTAGTTTCACTTTTCCAAAGTAAAACATTTTTAGTTGTGTGAAATTAGGAAGAGGGCCATTCTTATTATTTATTTTTGAGAAAATTTCCCCAAAAAAATATTCAACTTCTCAATTTTCACAAAATAAAATTTAAATTTTATTTGTTATCAAATAAAACTTTAACTTTATTTTTCAATCAAAAATAAATCTCAACTTTATAATATTTGTCATTTTTAACCATATTATTGGCGGGAGCTTTTCGGCATCTTATATGGTAAGTCATCATTTTGACTATATTTGATATATTATCATCTACATATCATCATATCGGAACGCCACATCACCAATAAGTTTAAAAATAACAAAGATTGTAAAGTTCGAATTTATCGTTAAAAAAATAAAATTGAGGTTTCATTTGATAAAAAATAAAATTTAAATTTTATTTTATAAAAATTGAGAAATTAAGGTTTTTTTTTAGATTTTTCTTTATTTTTTTTAAATGCCATTGGATCGTAAATTTATAGTAAAAAAAAACTCTTCGAACCATTAACCATCTCTCTCTCTCTCTCCCTCTATATATATATATATATATGTAAATACGGAATCAGAGGAAAGGAAGACGAAGACCAAATTTCTTCCGTAGTTTTGAGCCTATAAGTGGCATAGTCTAAGCCATTTCATTTCGCCATTCCTCTTCCTCTCTTTTTTTTTTCTCTAAAGTTTTCAGCTTTTTTTTTTTTGCTTCCTTTAAAGTCTGAGATTCCCTGGTCTGTATCAGACCACAATTACACAGTTTTTTTCAAATGGTGCAGCCGAGAAGAAGGCTCTGGATATAATAAACAGTTGGATGAGAAGAAATAACAGAGAAACAGGGGAACATGTCTTGTAATAATGCCATGGCTTTCTTCCCTGCGAGTTTCATGTTCCAAAACCCTCACGAAAGCGATCACCAGCCACAACCTCCTCCTCCTCTCGCTCCTCTTCTCCCCTCCTGTAGTCTCCCTCAAGACTTCCATGGTATCCGTACACACACACACACATACATACTCTTATACATTGCCACCAACGCCAAACACTTTTCTTTTCCTCTGTTTTTGCTGGTGTTTTTTTTTTTTTAATTTCTGACCCTTTATCGATTTCGCAGGAATTGCCTCGTTTCTAGGAAAAAGATCACAGATGGCGGCATATTCAGGGAGCACGAGCAATTTCGGAGGATGTTGCGATGTAGAGGCGGAGAACATGAACGGAGAAGAAGAGCTGTCGGATGATGGGTCGCAGCTGGGAGAGAAGAAGAGGAGACTGAGCGTGGAGCAGGTGAAAACCCTGGAGAAGAGCTTCGAGCTCGGAAACAAGCTCGAACCAGAAAGAAAGCTCGAGCTTGCCAAGACTTTGCATCTCCAGCCCCGACAGGTCGCGATCTGGTTCCAGAACAGAAGGGCTCGTTGGAAAACCAAACAGCTCGAGAAAGATTACGAAGTTCTCAAGCGACAGGCCGAGAATCTGAAAGCTGAGAACGAAATCCTTCGAGCCCAGAATCAAGAAATGCACTCTCAGGTACATAAACACCGTTGGAATTCTCGAGAGGGTCTTTGGTTTCCGTTTGCATCTTGATGATTCTGGTGAAAATAAAGTTGATTTTTTTTATTAAATGTTGAATGTTGAAAAGTATAAATCACGGGTTGATTAACTTTAAATGATTTTCGACTTTTTTCTTTTCTTTTCTTTGATCTGGAAACAGTAAAAATTAAGGGGTCACTCTTTTGTATGATCCGATCAACTTTTGTGACGTTTTTACTGATTGATTGGTTCAAATGTCACTGCGCTCTGTTTTTATCTTTTTACTGGATCTAAATAATGGCATTTCTTTGTACCTAAAGATGCAATTTTTGGGTAATCACCGAGTCGTATCTCGTAAAAGTTAAAATCTTTTCGCTATTTGTTTTGATGGGTTGAAATCGAATTCACTGTTGCAGTTAGCTGCGCTGAAAAGCAGAGAGCCGACAGAATCAATCAACTTGAACAAGGAGACAGAAGGGTCTTGCAGTAACAGAAGCGACAACAGTTCCAACAACATAAGGTTGGACATCTCGGCGGCTCCGCCGGAGATCGATAGTCCGGGGGCCGCTCCGCCACCTCCGGCTACCGGAAGACACTTCTTCCCGCCGTCTCCAGCCCCGGCGGCGACGGCCACAGCGACCATGGAGTTCTTCCAGGGCTCGTCGTCAGGACAGAGCATGGTGAAGGACGAGACAAGCATCGGCACCATGTTCTGCAACATGGACGACCAGTCGGGCTATTGGCCGTGGATTGACCAGCCACAGTTCAGCTGAATCTTAAGTGGGCTTTCGTCTTTTATCTCGAAGTTTAACCTAACTTCGAGACAAAATCCCAGCAATTTTTCAAAACTTGGAATTTCTATCTTAATGTTGTTTGCACTGAATACCAGCGCGTTGTCGTAATGAGATGCAAAAAAAAAAAAAACAAGGGGGATGTTAGCCGTTTTATATTATAATAATCACCGTCATTAATAATCATATGGATCCAAGATTTTTCTATATATGTATATCTGTCAGTACACATATATATACACACACACTTGTGGGTTCAGGACCCATGTGGGTGGTACTCCGTCCAATCAGAAATGCGAGGAAATTGCATGAAATTCAAGAAAAGGAATAGAATTTATCAATGAATGATATATATATATATATAAATATTCTGCACATTTCATCATTCACAGTCGTCGATCCATTGGGTAAAACCCAGAATGATGGCAAAAAACACGTTTCAGGGTTGAATGGTATAATCACGAGATATTTTCGTCTGACGCGGACCAAAGACCTTCTTGAATCTTTTTTTACCGTTTCCATTTATTGAATTTACTGTTTCTGCTTTTTACTTGCACCCATATATAAACTGCTGACAGAATATTGAAATAACATGATTTGTTATATATCTTAAACCCCCAATGAAAAATGAAGTGTTTAATGTTTATTTTTCAAACCTCCTTGATTTAGTTACAGTTTCCTTTTGTCTTCCAATACATATACATGTCCCCCATCATAAACACTAGCTATAAAATCTATTAGTTTTTAATGTTCTTGATTTATAAACGGTGTTCTCATGAATATGTTTCTAAATAAATAATGTTTTCAATTTCTTCATAACTTTTAAAGAAATATAAAAACACTCATACATACCCTTACTAAATCACATTTTCATTCTATTGATAAAAAATCTAAAACGAGATCTATTTAATAACAAAATATATTCTCTATACATGATTTATTCATAAACGGACTGAGTATATTTCATTAGAGTTGATATTAGATTCTAATTAAACGCGTTACATTCAGTAAAAAAAAATATTAAATGCCATTAAGAAACGTCGTGAAAGAATTCAAAGCCAGGCAGCATCAAACACACATTCCAAGGAGTGGATGCGGACAAATAGAGTTGGAAGAAAGCAAGCAACCAAATTATAGTTGGAAGAAAGCGGTCTCTCTCTTGAATTGACGTCTCCAAATCCTTCGCCTCTCGATTTTAATCAACAAAAACATAAAATCCAAAGATGATTTTATGTTTTTTTTTTGTTAACCGAGGGAACCCATCGCAACAACCATTCGGGTCGGATACTGGCCGATCCCGCGGGACATACAATATCTCGGACAGTAAATTCTCCGATCCTACACAATACCCGGTAAACCATACGGAACATATTAACTAGCAGAGACTAACTGGTTCAGAAAAAGTTCAAACCACAGGAAGAATCGAATCCACAAATTCGTGTAGG